CTGATGGGGGGGACCAGCAGTTAGCGTAAAGGCTATGTCGCTGGACTCCCACGTAGTCGACTGCGGTCCGAGTCTCGGACCCGGTGGCTTAAAGTCACTCGGTGCGCGTGTGCGTGCGTGCCCAAGATCCCAAGAGGAGAATGGAGGAGGAGGGATTGCGGGGTGGCCATCCCCCCTGGGGGGTTATTTCTCACCTTCTGTCTCTCTGTCTCTCTCTGTCTGGCGAGCGCACGCATCCTATAGCAAAAACCTCTCCAAAAAAAAAAAAAAAGGACACTGATGGGGGGTGCACAGACTAGCCTGGCCTGCTGCAGTTCCAGTGCCTAAGTGTCTGGGAACTATAGCAGATTATGGGTCTGTCCCAGGACAGTATGAGTCTGGGACGAGAACCGAGGTCGACTACATGGGAGTCCAGCGACATAGCCATTGCGCTAACTGCTGGTCCCTCGTTTCATTTTTTTTTATAGAGAATGAGGGACCTCTCTGCATGGTCTCATAGCTAGGAGGTAGCTAAGTGGGGGTTCAAACATTCAAAAAATAATTTTTTTTAGAGAGATTTTTGCTATAGGCCATATGTGCTCGCTGGAGAGACAGAGAAAGACAGTGAGACAGAAAGTGAGAAATCACCCCACAGGTGGGATGGCCACACCACAATCCCTACTCCTCCATTCTGCTCTCTGGGCTTTGGGCATGCATGCACACACACCTCTGGGTCTGGAACTCAAACTGTGGTCAGTCATGTGGGAGTCCAGCGACGTAACCATTATGCCATCTGCTGGTTCCCAAACCTGCAAATTCTGCCGCCAGGGTGCATGGATGCTCTGATTCCATTTGTCCCATCTCCAGGTCTCCTGTGAGGACCCCTCCATGGGGAGGCTCACCTTTCTTTTTTTTCTTTGAGAGGTTTATGCTATAGGGCGCATGCGCTCGCCAGACAGAAAGAGAGACAGAAAGTGAGAAATCAACTCCCCAGGGGGGATGACCACGCCACAATCCCTTCTCCTCCATTCTCCTCTCGAGATCTTGGGCACGTGCGCACACACGCCTGGCGTGAGTTTTAAGCCACCGGGTCCGGGACTCGAACCACGGTCGACTATCTGGGAGTCCAGTGACATAGCCATGACGCTAACTGCTGGTCTCGGGTTGATGGATCTTTGGACCCAACAAGTCTTCGATTTCCTGTGCCACTTCCAACCTTCATCTGTAACGTGGGCTGTGGGACCTTCCAGAGTTCTCTGACCTTCCCAAGTCGGCATTCTCTGTGCCCGTGAGAGTTTGGGGCTCCCCAGTCAGCAGCTCACTCACTCACTAATTTCAGTCCTAGTTCCTCTCTCTCTCTTTTTAGATCAATTGTTGTCTTTTATTATCATCTTTAAAATACTATATAATGGGGCCGGCAGGTGGCATGGTGGTTAGGGGTGCTAGACTCCCATGTGGCTGATAGCAGTTCAAGTCCTGGACCTGGCAACTTGCTTTCTCTCTCTCTCTCTCTGGTCAAATAAATAAATAAATAAATAAATAAATAAAGCTAAATTTTAAAACATCTTTAAAAAAATCACATAATGGCCTTAGAAATGATCCGGCTTGTTACTGTAGCTGGAGAACTCTTAGGTCTTACTCACCGGCCTGTTGAACTGTGCCCTTCTCAGAGACGTAGATATCATCTAAGAATTCCCTCATATCCTTATTTCTAACTGTTGTGGCTTGCTGTATCAAAACAGCTTGATTTTGAAACAAGTTCAATATCATTGCCTTCAAGGATCAATCCATCTTTCTGGGTATGAGATACTGAACAAGCAACCCCTGGTCTCATTCGAACCCTCCAGATGTTTTTTTTTTTTTGAGAGGTTTTTGCTATAGGGCGCGTACGCTCGCCAGACAGACAGAGAGCGACAGAGAGACAGAAAGCGAGAAATCACCCCCCAGGGGGGATGGTCACACCGCAATCCCTTCTCCTCTCGGGATCTTGGGCACGCATGCACACGCACCAGGCGTGAGTTTTAAGCCACCGGGTCCGGGATGCTAACCACAGTCGACTACGTGTGAGTCCAGCGACATAGCCATTACGCTAACTGCTGGTTCCCTGGATGTATTTTTCACCCGAGAAATTTCGGATTTCAACAAGAGACCCATTCTCCTGAATAAGTACATTGGCGGGGAAATGAGCAGACCCAGACCTCATGTTGTCGCGGAAGCCCAGTGTAACAGCCTGGATCGTGTTCTGGATGGGACAGATAGTGTGGACAGTAACCAGCTTCTCTCTGTTTTCCCACCACTTGTCAACCCTCAGCTTCTTCGTCTTTTTTTTTTTCTCTTTTTTTTGGAGAGGTTTCTGCTACATGGCACATGCACTCGCCAGAAAGACAGAGAGACCGAGAGGCAGAAAGCGAGAAATCACCCCCCAGGGGGGATGGTCACACCGCAATTCCTTCTCCTCCATTCTCCTCTCAGGATCTTGGGCAGGCATGCACACATGCCCGGCATGTTTAAGCCACCGGGTCCAGGACTCGAACCACAGTCAACTACATGGGAGTCCAGCGACATAGCCATTACGCTAACTGCTGGTCCCAGCACATGTGCTCATACACAATACCCCCTGATTCAGCTGGCCTGAGAGAAGGCACTGTGTTGCCCTCACACGACTGCTAGCCCTGTGTTCCAGTTGCCTCTCCCCACGGCCATCATCATGACCTTCGGGCCATGGGGTTCGAGACCTGGGCAATCTGGTTCATATCCCCCTCCTGCCCTTCTGAACTGGCTGTCTCTGCTCTGCTGCCAAAGTCCTGAGCTTTGCAGTTCACTTGGCCCTGGAAGGGGCAGGCTTCTGGGGGTCCATAGGAGGCTTCGTTTTTTCTTTTCTTTCTTCCTCTCCTCCACCCTTCCTTCCTCCCTCCCTCCTTCCCTTCCCCCTTCTTCCTCTCTCCCAGTCTTTCTTTCTTCTTCCTAACTTCCTTTGCTCCTCTCTCTTCCTTCCTTTCTTAGGTTAAATCAAGAGTTGTGGGATGGGACTAGCAGATGGCGTAATGGCTATGTCACTGGACTCCCATGTAGTCGATCGCGATTCGAGTCCCAGACCCGGTGGCTTAAAACTCACGCCAGGCGCGTGTGCGTGCGTGCCCAAGATCCCCAGAGGAGAATGGAGAAGGGACTGTGGCGTGGCCATCCCCCCTGGGGGGTGATTTCTCGCTTTCTGTCTCTCTGTCTGTCTGGTGAGCGCACGCGCCCTATAGCAAAAATCTCTCCAAAAAAAAAGACAATTGAGGCATGGGGGTTCAGGTGCTGGACTGCCACGTAGCCGACTGCGATTCGAGTCCCGAACCCGGTGCCCTGTTTTCTTGCTTTCTCTTTTTCTCTGTCTCTGGTCAAAATTTAAAAGTAAGGGAACCAGCAGTTAGCATAATGGCTATGTCGCTGGACTCCCACGTAGTCGACTCCGGTTCGCGTCCCGGACCCGGTGGCTTAAAACTCACGCCGGGCGCGTGTGTGTGTGTGCCCAAGATCTTAAGAGGAGAATGGAGGAGAAGGGATTGCGGTGTGACCATCCCCCCTGGGGGGTGATTTCTCACTTTCTGTCTCTATGTCTCTCTCTGTCTGTCTGGCAAGCGGATGCGCCCTATAGAGAAAAACCTCTCAAAAATTAATTAATTAAAAAAAAAATAATAACAAATAGAAATAAATAAATAATTTTAAAAGAAGAAGAAGGAGGAGGAGGAGGAGAAGAAGAAGAATAAAGACGTGGACAGGCCAGACGTGGCCTCTGCTCTGGTGGAGCTGACAGCCTAAGACGGGACACCAGCGTTAAACATAAATACCACAAACAAAGTAATAAAGTCAGAGCTGGGCAAGTGCTGTGGGTGAAGGGGTGGTGCTGATGGGAAAAGAGCCCTATCCAAGCAGGCTTCCTGGAGGAGGAGGCACACGAGCTGAGAGCCAAAGGAATCTTCACGAAATCCAGGGAGGCTGGCACTGTCCTTTGCAGAGGACGACTCTTCCCAGAATCACACGGAGACATGTGCCCAGGCCTGGGTGAGCCACCTCTGGGCTCTCAGCTGGCACTTGCGGGGCCTTCCCCACTGGGGCTGGCAGCCTGGGACAAGCTGCTGCTGCTCCCTGAGGCCCTCGGTACTGTGGGCCGAATCACCCGGTCACCGTCCCCCGGGTCCCCACTGATGCTGGGGCAGGATTAACTTCCATCTCTGGTGTCCTTTTTATCATTTGCTTAAGGTTTTCTTTTTGTCTTAAGAGAGATTTTTGCGATAGGGTGCATGTGCTTACCAGAGAGACAGAAAGCAAGAAATACCCCCCTCCCCAGGGGATGGCCATGGCAAAGTCCCTTCTCCTCCATTCTCTCAGGATTTGGGGCACACACTTGCAACAGGGTCTTTATTTTTTTTTTTTTTTTTTTTTTTTTGCTGAAGGGTACATGAGCTTGCTGGAGATAGAGACAGAGAGACAGAGAGAGAGAAAGTGAGAAATCACCCCCCAGGAGGTGGCCAGGCTGCAATCCCTTCTTCCCCATTCTCCTCTTGGGATTTGAGCACACATGCTTGTGTACCTAGTGTGTTTTTCTTTTTCTTTTTCCCTTCTTCTTTCTTTCCTTTTTTTTTTTTTTTTTAATTAGATTTTTTTTGCTCGCTCTAGGGCACGTGTGCTCACCAGAGAGATAGAGACAGAAAGTGAGAAATCTCTCCCC